CTGTGGACCAAAGTGGATTTTATGGAATAATTGGATTTATTGGATGATGCAAATGCTAAAGTGTTGTGAAAATGAATTTGTGGACGACATTGTTTTTGTTTTGTCATTTTGTTTGTGTTGTCATCGGATCCAGGGTTATACTTGTGGAGAATGCACCGAGTATGTACTGTTATAAATATATTTTTAATCTATAGGTACAGATACAAAAAATTGTAGTGTCTGTATTATTGAAACAACAGGTTTTTACTACAAGCATATGAATATGCATACGATACATGTGCCAAAATAACACATTTTCAAATTTTTGTCAGTCTATCTGCCTGTTTGTACTCGCTAATCTCTGAAATGACTGAACCGATTTGGATGGACTCTCTCGTCAGCTGAGTGGCCGCAAGCACTGAGCAAGAGGATTTGGTTCCCGATATAGACTATGCATTGTTAAGGCTTCGGTTTTTCAGGCTGTTGTAAGCTCGGAACTTGAAATTGTGCCCGGTGTATGGCAATAGGCTACCCTCAAATGAGACACACAAGTTTATTGGTCAAAAGCAGGCACCCACTACATTAAAAATGTGGACCATATTATCTACCCCTTCAGGGTGGGCTCTTTGTTGAGGAGTGGCTTGAGAGACGCTACAGCGTCCTCGCGCGCGCCTCAAAGAGCCATCAGGCCACCACAGATGGGGCCCAATAGGGCCGATGCCGATTCGGAGTCGCGCTGAACCTGACGGGTAACCGGGGCTCCGGCTTGACGCGCAGGAGAAGGAACGGGGTGGTTTTTAGTCAGTAAGAGTATGACACTCCCTCCCGCCTCACCCAGGCGGGAGCAGTCATTCGATGATTTTCCCGCCTTAAAAAAAAACCTCCAATGGGACACACAACTTTATTGGTTAAAAGTAGGCACACACTAAATAGAAAATGTGGACCATATTATTACCCCTTCACGGTCGAAAATACGTCAAATCTTTTAGATTTTTTTATATTCTTTGTTTTCTGTGCGTGTAATTGCCAAATAAATGTTTTTTCTTTCTTTCTTTCTTTCTTTCTTCTTTCTAGATCCTGCTATCTGATTATGTTATGTTCATAAGATATTTTTATCACTTCAATCTGTCTAGTTTATGAGTATAATTATGTGTAATTTCTGTCGCCACTTCGACACGCTTGACAGCTTGTTGTGTCTTCTCTGTACTAGGGGTCAAATTCAGTGCATAACTGTCGGTTTTCATAAAAAATCTAGGTATAAAATACTAGGTAATTGTCTGCTCAGTCTGTACTTCAACCGTGCGCGCCTCAAACAGCCATCAGACCACCACAGATGGGGCCCAACAGGGCCGATGCCGATTTGGAGTCGCGGAGAACCTAACGGGTAACCGGGGCTCCGGCTCGACGTGCAGGAGAATGAACGGGGTGGTTTTTAGTCAGTAAGAATCTGACACTCCCTGGGTGAGGCGGGAGAAGTCTTTCGATGATTTTCCCCCCTTATAAAAACGGTACAACATTGTTGTATAGTCAAATAAAAAAGAAACAAATCGCCGATTCCGACGGTGCGCAATTAAAAAACTAAATAAATACAAGTTGAATAAAACTGTACCTAGTTTCCATAGAATAAGATCGATTCACAATTTTATGTTTTTATTAAAATGAAACCGTTATCTGGGCACAGTCATTCGATGATTTTCCCTCCTTAAAAAAAGTCTGTACTTCTATGTCAGTGTAATACACGATGAATGATTGACCACCGAGAGAAAGTAAGGAAGGTTGGCAACCCAAAATTACAATTAAAAACAAAACTATTTTTTTTAAACGTTGCTCCTCAATAGGATTTTCTCCTGTGTCGTGGGTGCGTTTACAAACATACAAGTTCACATACACAATGATACCCAGACCCGGAACAACAATCTGTGGATCACACAAAGAGTTTCTCCTTGCGGGAAGCGTCCCGCGACGCGTTGCGCGGTTGTCAGTTGCCTAGCTACTGCACCAACCATGCCTCCTTATCTTATTCTTAAATTTATGACTGAAAAGTAAAAAACAATGTGCCGAAAAATTAGGATTGCGTTATTTTTTTTCTTCTTCAACTCGAATAATCTCTATGCGTTTGGTTCACACCGTTACCGGGGCTCCGGCTCGACGTGCAAGTGAAGGAACGGGGTGGTTTTTAGTCAGTAAGAGTCTGACACTCCCTCCCGCCTCACCCAGGCGGGAGCAGTCATTCGATGATTTTTCCCCCTTAATAAAAAACCGCTATTAACCGCTAAAAACCTTGCCTCACACTAGGATTTTCTTTCCTGTGTCGTGGGTGCGTTTACAAACATACAAGTTCACATACACAATGACACCCAGACCTGAAACAACAATTTCTGGATCACACAAAGTGTTGTCCCGTGCGGGAATCGAACCCGCGACACGTTGCACGGGAGCCAGTTGCCCAGCCACCGCACCAACCGTGCAGTCATTTAATGCCATGTAACACCTACTTTTCACTATTTATGTTATGAGTCCCATGTAATAGGGAGTGAACCTATTGACATATACCGGGCACAATTCCAGGCTCCGTGCTACTACTGAGTTTTTTTTACCCAGTAGTACTTTGCCCGACCCGGGAATCGAACCCGAGACCCTTTGCCCGGCAGTCGCACTTGCGACCACTCGGCCAACGAGGCAGTTAAATTCAGTCAAAAAACGATGTTGATCTATGAATTTTGTACCAAAAACTAACTTATGACGTCATCATTATTTTCGAGTCTTAATAGCACAATTATTATTATTTCTGGAAAAAAAATGCTAGAATAAATCAAAAATTAGGTATATCGTCAAATATTGTAATTGCTGCCTCGTTGGCCGAGTGGTCGTAAGTGCGACTGCCGGGCAAGGGGTCTCGGGTTCGATTCCCGGGTCGGGTAAAGTATTACTGGGTTTGTAAAAATCCCAGTAGTAGCACGGAGTCTGGAATTGTGCCCGGTATATGGCAATAGGCTCACCTCCTTATCATGGGACTCATAACATAAATAGTGAAAAGTGGTTCTTACATTGTTCAGTGGCATAATGTGCACCTCTGCCTACCTCTTCGGGGAAAAAGGCGTGATGTTACGTTATGTATTTATTTTTAATATTATTTAATTGGATTAAAGATTTAAATAATTTATTTTTGACCCAGGAACATACCCAATTGACAATAGGTTAAGAAAAAAAAATCTTTGAAACGAGACAATAGACAATTTGCAGGCCATGCAGAAAACTTGTTAGTTTTCATAAATAATTCAGTCAGTAGGTCATATTTATATTTAATCCTGACTTAACGGGTTTAGACACAAGGTCGCTTTTTGCTTGTTTTTTGTAATTACATTCTTAGAATCATTTGGTTTTTGTAATTAAGCATGAGTAATGTAAGGATGTACCAGTAAATAACGTCATCATTACTCGTTAGATGATTATCTATAGGTATACATTTATACATATAAATAAATATGTAGTGTCTGTTTTTTCATATTGAAATAACCGTTTATTACTACATGCATATAAAACATACAATGTACGCATATCAAAATAACAATAACAATTTTTATGTGTCTGTATATTTGTTTTGGCTAATCTCTGAAATAGCTGGACCGATTTTGAAGGGACTTTATAGGCAGGATGTAAGTATTTGTATTGTAACTTTCGTGAGACATCCTAAATAAATGATTATGTTTTCGGCTTACTCACGTAGTAATTCGACGAGGAACTCGACTAGTTTCAAGCCATGCTAGAGGCTCATATTCATGAGCAGCATTCCGCGACCCGCGACGCGGCGACTGTCGCGCTGCTACGTTGAAACTAGTCGAGTTCCTCGTCGAATTACTACGTGAGTATGCCAAAAACATAATAATTTATTTAGGATGTAAGTACTTACTAAGAAGTCTGTGTTTTTTGTATAAACGTCATATCTTTTGATCCTTGAAACTTGAGGTTTAGGCAGAGGTGCTAAAAGTAACAAGAACATCCACCACCAATGTTATGACTTTCATGTAATAGGGATTGAGCATATCGGGGTACCTACAGTGGGATATTCTCCGATATAATTTTGGATCTCTGACATTTACAAATAGATTTTTTCTTATTTCATACACAAGAATATATAAAACTACACTACTATAGAGCAATATTCTTATATGTAAATTAAGAACGCGACGCGCTCTACGCTCGGGTCTGATTCGGGTCGGGAGGCGAGTCACCCGTTCTCACCGTTCGCAGGCCCGTGCTTACGGGTGGCTGGAGAAATTTGAACTACATAATATAATAGCTACCATCCGCCACTCTGTTTCTATTGGTAGTAGCGAAATAATTTTGTGGCATACGCATGACTATTCAACATAAAAATATTGTATTAATGCGAACCTATAGTTCCCCTGACTAAAGCGTTCAACCTTCTTCGTTCGTCGTTTCCGTCCTTCGTTCATCTTCTTACCAGACACAAAGATATTTAATAATTTACCCACTACACTCTGTGTATTTACCCGAGCGTACGGCGCGTCGCGTTCCGCGCGCGCCTCAAAGAGCCATCAGACCACCACAGATGGGGCCCATCAGGGCCGATGCCGATTCGGAGTCGCGGAGAACATAACGGGTAACCGGGGCTCCGGCTCGACGTGCAGGAGAAGGAACGGGGTGGTTTTTAGTCAGTAAGAGTCTGACACTCCCTCCCGCTTCACCCAGGCGGGGGCAGTCTTCGATGATTTTCCCCCCTTAAAAAAAAACACACTCTGTATTTTCTATTTTCCCACACACGTACACTCGCACACACATTTGCACACACTCACACACTTTTTAGCACAGCAAGTTTCTCTCCTATATAATTATGTAAATTCTAATGGTTAAGATGTTATCGTGTCCAGTTGCGGGGGGCCAGGAGGCTCATAATACAAATTTCTGATTTAATTTGGGGCTCCTGTCTCCCTCTTATGTAAAAATGTTTCACTAAAGAAATTAGTATTATTATTTCAAATTATAACTATCCCTTACAGCATGTTTCCGCCGCGTCCTGGCCGGGAAGCGAGCACTGCGGAGTCATGTCAGGAAGGTGGTACCATGCGAGAGGCTGGAGGACTGCCGGAGGGAATGTGCCATGGAAAAGAGGTTCCCTTGCGAAAGCTTCAATTATAGGTGAGTGAGATTTGACAGTTCTGATTCTAGCTAAAGACTATACGGGTCTAGCTAACTAGCTCAAGGTATCAGTACCTTTATACTAAACGCCATGTTCTAAAATGTTAGATGTCGGGATGTTTCAAACCGCCTAGACAATTTGGCAATGCGTAGAGATGTAGCTTCGTTGTTCATTTTCTATCGCTTATACCACGGGGAGCGCTCTGAGGAATTGTTTGAACTGATACCTACCGCATCTTTTCGCCATTGACCCTCACGACAATATATGCATCCCTATCATATAGATGGTTGGTAGGCCACAACTGTGCGCGTAGCTTTCTGCCTCGTACAGCAAAACTGTGGAATGATCAGTCGTCGGGGGTATTTCTGAACCAATACGACCTTCAAACCTTTAAGAAAAGAGCGTATTCCTTTTTAAAAAGCCGGCAACGCACTTGTGGTTCCTCTAGTGTTACGGGTGTCGATGGGCAGCGCTGATCGCTTACCATCAGGTGATCCGTCGGCTCGTTTGCCTCTTATTCCAAAAAAAAAAAACAATTGAGCATACTCAAAAATGTTCAAACATCGAATGCCGGTCGATTCGCAAGCATACTTGAAATGGGTAAGCAAATTTTGAACAATATTCCGACACACGTGCCTCTAAGTGACACGTGCTCAATTGAAGCATGCTATCGTGGGTAAGCCGAAAACATAATAATTTATTTAGTATGTCTCACTATCGTACTTGAAATTAGCATACGTAAAAGTACCTTAACTGTGATTTTTAGAATATAATAGAAGAATAGAATATAACTTTATTGTACACCATTAATAATACAGTACATACAGAAAAGGAAATGACAAATATAAATAATAAAATAGTAATGGGCACAAAGGCGGTCTTATCACTTATAGTGATTTCTACCAGACAACCTTTGGGTGGATATAATGAAGACAAAGACTTTAGCAACTCAGCTCAAATGATTCTGTTCCATAGATATAATAAAGTATTTCTGTGTTCTGTTCCCTGCATTAAAAAAGGGGGCTTTGAAGACGGATCCTTTAATGAAATATTTTCAATGTTGCTTTGGGCTCAGAGCTAGCCATATACCTCTAACGAAAAACGTAACTTTTACTTAGTAAGTGTTTGCCCTCTCGCTTCACCCAACGCGGGAGAAGTCATTTGACGCTTTTTCATCCTCGAGAGCTATTCTTCATGTACCTAGGACGTGACGGACTCAGTGTCTCAGTGTTTTCATGGTTAATATTTAATCTAGATCCTAGCTTTTCAAGATCTTTTCAAGGAGAATTGGCCTAAAATAGGAATAGTGGGGTTCTCTGATCTGCAGCTGTAGCCAAACGCCATTGAGCGCTTGTCTACATGTAGAATAGAAAACCAAATTATATGGGATTGACGTAAATTTTGACACTTGATAATGTCACCCCCATACATTCGAGTCCTCGTCAAATAATTACGAGTAAGCAGAAAACATATCGCGGAGAACCTAAAAACAAAAAAAAAGATCCTAGCTTGCAGAAGTTACAGTAAAGAAAAAAGTACTAGCCTAAGACTGTTCTTACTTTTAAAATGTACTTTGTGCTTACAATTACCGAAACAGTCGACGAGCAATAAAATCTTAACTAAAACATGCTGACATAGATACAAAGATAAATCTATCTAGTAAAATAGCTCCGAATGTCTGTACGTCGTTCACACGCATATTTCGCACAATTGTGAACATTTCCTGATTTTGTGGCGACCTTAATAGTTAATTATTACAACATTTTCGTTAATAACCCACTGTGTTGGTTTTTATGAAGTATTTAAGTACGATTTTGTAATCAGTTAGATTTGTTAAGTGTGAATTTTTATGGGAAGGAAATGTTTCTATGTACTACTGGGTTTTTTTAAATTATCAGTAAAAACACGGAGTCTGGAATTGTGCCCGGTATATGGCAATAATAAACGGTGTCGCGGTGGCCCGGAGGTTTAAGACGCATGCATGCGGGTGCGGGTTCGATACCCACCAACGGCAAGTACCAATGTGACTTTTTCCGATTATATGTACTTTCTATGATTATTCAGACACCACTGACGAACGGTGAAGGAAAACATCGCGAGGAAACCTAGGCTTATAATTTCTAATTATAAGTTTGAAATCACCAACCCGCATTGAGCAAGCGTGGTGATTAATGCTCAAACCTTCTCCGTGTGAGAAGAGCCTTTGCTCAGTAGTGGGCATTTATAGGTTGTTGATGATGATGATGATGACGATGATGATATGGCAATAGGCTCACCTCCTATTACATGGGATTCATAACATAAATAGTGGAAAGTGGGTGTAACATCGTACAGTGGCATTAAGTGCCGTAATGGATACCTTTGCCTACCCCTTCGGGGATAAAAGGCGTGATGTTATGTTATGTTTTATTTATTTATCAGAAAACAGCTAATTTAATCTTCACAGGTACTTAGCCTAATACGACAAAATTAGTTACATAATATAAAATTTCAAAATTCAAAATTACATTATACATACGAAAGTTACATTATACATAAGAAATCTAAACATAATATCACAAAAAAGAAAATACCACTACTAAAGTTTTAAATACTAACAATACCATAGGTGGCTCTTGTGAACTCATTCCACATACCCATCCGGCACACACATGCGTAGCTCCATAAGGATTCTAGAGTTAACTAATTTACCTCGCAACACTTTAAATAAATAAACAGCCAGTGCCACTTCCCGCCTAGTCTCCAGTTTGAAGTATCCCACCATACCCAACACAAATAATGTTGGGTATAATAGAGGATAGCCGGGGTATACCTTATATATTTTTGAATACAAAAATCGGGTGAATTTATTTTGTATCCTCTCAACCATGAATTTGTATTTGGCTTCACTTGGTCCCCATATTACTGCACAGTACTCGAGGTGAGATCTAACCAAGGCGTCATACAAAGCCCTGAGAGCCCCCACATTATTAAAGTCATTAGCTTGTCTCAAGATGAATCCCAAATTTCTAAATGCTTTCTTACTAACCTTAATAATATGACCTCTGAATCCTAAATCGGCCGCAAAATAGACACCAAGGTCTCTTACTTCCATCACTCTCTCCAAAGTTTCACCCTCTAACTTATAACAGTGGTGGTGTGGACTGCGCGCACGAGTGAAAGACACCACTGAACATTTGGAGACATTGAAATAAAGTCTGTTATCATGGCTCCATTTAACAACTCGGTCCAAATCTTCTTGGAGCATATTATGGTCAGTAGTGTCTCTCATCACACGGAATAATTTTAGGTCATCGGCAAAAAGCAAACAAGATGATTCCTGGACTACTGCTGGTAAATCATCAATCATTAATATGAAAAGAAAGGGACCCAAGTTACTGCCCTGACTAACGCCTGATCTCGTATAATATGGCTTAGAAAGGCATCCTCCACAGTCGACAAACTGACGCCTGTCCCGTAAGTAACTGGCAAAGAACCTCAACGTATGTGGCGTGCAACCCTTGCCAGCTAACTTCGAGAGCAAGACATCATTATCGACTGTGTCGAACGCCTTCCTGAAGTCAAGATACGCGACGTCCACTTGTAAACCTGCATCCACCGATGGTACTAGTGTTGACATAAGATGAAGCAAGTTTCCTGTGGTTCCACGTCCCGGACAAAAGCCATGCTGAGCATTAGATAAGTGAGCCTTAACCTGGTCATAGAGGGAACTGTGCACAGCTGCTTCAAATACTTTGGCAGGAGAAGACAGGACAGCAACAGGTCTATAATCGCTCGCCTCTGTTCCGCCACTTCCTTTTGGGACTGGCACGACGCGCGTAAGTTTCCACCTCTCTGGAAAGGTCGAAGACGAGATACAAATATTAAAGATGTGTAACAGTGGTTCACAGAATGCGCCGCGACAGTCCCTCAGAATGAACGGTGGTATGCCGTCCGGTCCCACGGAGCGCTTAGATGGTAAACGGGCGAGCGAGCGGTACACCGCTGCTTTGTCTAAACGGTCAAGTTGCGCTCGTGCTGCACACCGTGAGGCCGTGGCACTGGCTGCATCTACGTCTAACGTTGCAGGCTTGGGGCTATATACTGAGTGGAAAAATTGTGCAAACTCTTCGGCGCATTCTTTGTCAGTGAGAACTAACCCGTCTTTAACTAACTTATATTTATTAGAAGTCCCTTTTTTGGATCTCACATAATTCCAAAAAGCCTTTGGGTCTTTGGCTAAATGGTTCTGCACTCGGTCCCGATAACGATCATGAGCCAACTTTGTTTCAGTCTTTACTCTCGCTCGGCACAAAGAAAACGCCTCGTAATCGGTAACTGATTTACTTGCCTTATACTTCTTATGCAGATTGTATTTTAATTTAATACTACTAATAATATCGGATGTATACCATACTGGATACGTGTACCTATTGTTATTTTTTAATTGTTTCTTTTTGAGAGGTACGCACGAATCGAATGCTTCTTCTACAGTCTTATAGAAAAAATTTAATGCTAAATCAAGATCATTTAAAGCGTATAAGTCACTCCAGTCTATATCATTTAATAAGCTATACATTTGAAAAAAATCTGCTTTGTTAAAGTTCCACTTATGATTTTGTATTTGATGCGTGTCGTATGAGCGCCCGGGAGTCGCGGCAGGCGCGAGCGGCGCGGGATCCGCGGGGAGCGCGGCCGCGGCCGCGCCGATAGATACGTCGAGCGGCGGGTGATACGCGTCCACGGGCTGCAAGCCTTCGTCCGCTGCGCGCACCGACACCCCCCCGCGCCCGCTCAACACTAGGTCCAACTGCCTACCGTTACAATTAGGTACTGAGTTACACTGAATGACCTCACAAAAAGCCACGAAGTATTCAAAATAATTAAGAACATTATGATTACATGAGAATAAGTTGAAATCGCCTAATATTATTACATTACCTTTATACTTTATACAAACTTTTTCCAATAAATTAAACATTAACAAATATTCATTTTCTTCAGTCTTTGGTGGTATGTA